CGAGGTGAGGAAGAGTCCGATTTGTGGTCTCTCCTTAACCACAACCGTAAAGGTTGAACCCACGTTGTAGAAAGTAATCCCCAAGTATCGCCGCTGCCTTAGATAGAGGAACTACAACGAGCTCTGGATTAGCTCAAAGCTCAACAGAACGAGCAGGGGAAGGTCGCAGAGGTGTCTCCTTTTTCTCTAGTAGTGTTAGCTGCCCCTTTCCCATCGAGATTCAAAATGCCCCACATGCGAGCATTCGATGGGAACTCTGATCCGCAGTATCATCTGTACGAGTTCAACGACCTCATGAAACTCCACCAAGTCTCTGACTTGGCAAAATGCCATTGCTTGGCAGTAACCTTAACTGCCCATGCCAAGCAATGGCTTAGGTTGCTCCTGGCAAGATCGGTCAGCTTATGCCCTCAAATGAGCTTGACATTTCTGAGGCACTTCCAGGCGAACATGAAGTTCTCAATACTGCTAAGCTACCTAAGCAATATACTGTAAGAGAGTGATGAACCCATTGAGGAGGAAATCACCTTCTCCGAGAAGGACACGGTGCGATTGCATCATCCCCACGAAAATGCTCTCGTCATCGCACCTAAAATAGGTCGATGCGAGGTCCACAAAATGTTGGTGGACAATGGAAACGCCATGAACATCTTGTTCCAACGAGCTTTCGAGAAGATGAAGCTAGACGAGGCAGATTTGAAGCCTACCTCTATCTTTCTATATAGTTTCATCAGGGATCATTTGATTCCCAAATGGACGATCTCGCTCTAGGTCACGTTGGGAGAGACCAACGAGATGACCAAAATGACTGAGTTCTTAGTAGTGGACTGTCTATCCACTTTTAATGGCATCTTGGGACGACCTCTACTACGAAGCTTCAAAACAGTTACTTCAATCTACCATCTGAAGATGAAGTTCCCTACCCCAACGGGGATAGGGGAAGTAAGCGGATCTCAACACGCATCTCGCAACTGCTATGTAAGGGCAGGGTAGATAGCGTGCAAAGGAAAAAGAACTCCAATCGGTATCCCTAAACAGGAAATGACGATCAGCAAGATCGAGCCACAGCCTAGCCCAGTTGAGGATAACATGGATCCTTATATTTAGGAATGCCCTAGCAGTGGGCCGATCGAGGACCTATTTGAGGTATCGGTCGATCAAAGTGAGCCAGGCCGAGTGTTGAGAATCGAAAGTAATCTCCACCCTCAGCTCGCCAACGACTTGACAAGCTTCCTTAGGAAAAATATCGACGTATTCGCATGGACTCATGCCGACATGGTTGGGATCAGCCGAATATTATATGTCATGCCCTGAATATGGATAGTGCGGTCAGGCTGGTTCGCCAGAAGAGAAGAACAATGGACCCCGAGCGATATGCTGCCTTAAAAGTTAAGGTAAATAATCTCATCTTAAATGGATCCATCCGAGAGGCACTTTACCTGAGCTAGGTTGCCAACCTGGTCTCAGTAAAGAAGCCTAACGGTAAATGGCGGACTTGCGTTGACTTTATTGACTTTAAAAAAGCTTGTCCAAAGGACAACTTTCCCTTACCGAGGATCGACCAGCTCATCGATGCCACCTTCGGGCACGAGCTGCTGAGTTTGATGGATGCCAACTCGGGATATAATCAAATTTTGATGTACGTGCCAGATGAAGAACATACCTCCTTTGTTATAGATCGGGGGCTGTATTGCTATAAGGTTATGTCTTTTGGCCTAAAGAACGCTATGGCGACTTACCAGTGACTGGTTAATCGAATGTTTTTCGAACATATCAGAAAATCAATAGAAGTCTATGTTGATGACATGCTGGGCAAATCGCATGTCGCTTCAGATCACATAACATATCTCGCTAAGATGTTTTGTATACTCCGAAGGTACAGAATGAAGCTCAATCCTCTCAAGTGTTCGTTCGGAGTATCCTTGAGAAAATTCTTGGGATATATGGTTGACTAGAGGGGAATAGAAATTCACCTTGAAAAGATTCAAGCTCTCCTCGATATGAGAAGCCCGACGAACCGAAAACAGGTTCAAAGTATCAATAGGAGAATAGCGGCTCTCAATCGCTTCATATCAAGGGCAACAGATCGCTGCTTACCGTTTTTCAATATACTCAAGGCCAATAAAAAGTTCAAATGGACTCCGAACTATGAATAGACTTTCTAAAGTATTAAAGAGCACCTTAGAAAGCTACCTTTCCTATCCAAGCCTCCCTCGGGAGATTCTTCTTCTGTATTTGTCCATCTCTTAACGTGCGGTCAATGTAGCTCTAATTCAAGAAGAAGACAGAGTCCAATGGTCGGTATATTATGCGAGCAGGCAACTGTTGGATACCGAGATGTGGTATTCAGAGATAGAGCAATTAGCTTATGCCCTGCTGATCGCCTCCATGAAGTTACGACCTTATTTTTACGCCCACACAATCCACGTATTGACCAACTACCCACTCAAGCAAGTCCTTCAGAAACCAAAAGCTTCGGGTAAGTTGCTCAAGTGGGCGATGGAACTAAGTCAGTTTGATCTGCAGTACAGACCGAAAGTAGCTATTAAAGGGCAAGCTGTTGCCAATTTCATCTCGGAGTTTACATACCAACCAACTTAGGAATCTGAGCAACAGGCCAGCGAAGTAGCCCAGGAAACTGTCCGAAATCTATCAACCTAGAGCCTATATGTCGACGGTTCCTCGAACAGGAGGAGGGTCGAGGCAGGCCTTCTCCTCCTTAGTCTTGAAGGGACTCGCATCTACGGTATCCTTTGGTTCGGATTCAAAGCCATGAACAATAAGGCTGAATACGAATCACTGCTCGCTGGTCTACAATTGGTAAGAGAAATGGGGTCAATTGCGATCAATATTCACAGCGACTCCATGCTGGTTGTCAATCAAATTTGGGGGAGTATCAAGCCAAGGAAGAAAATATGATTAGTTATCTGAAGAAAGCTAAAGCCGTGCTTGAGTCTTTTAAGCACTTCACGATCACGTAGATTCCTAGAGACAGTAATTCTGTCACAGATGCCTTGGCAAAAATAGCCTCATCGCTGGACTCGGATGCGTCAGAAAGTATTCATGTTCGGTACATAGAAATCCTAAGTATCAGCTCGCCCGAACAGACCATGGTCACAACCGAGTCAATTTCCTGGATGATCCCAATTATTCAGTATCTCCGAAATGGGACTTTGCCCAATGACAAGACTTAAGCAAGAACCCTGCAAACCAGAGCTGCTTGTTACACACTCATAGGAGATCAGTTGTACAAACGAGGTTTTAGTGCCCCTCTCCTTCGATGTGTATCAGATGAGGAAGTAGACTATATTATGAGAGAGATACATGAAGGGGTCTGCGGTAATCACACTGTCGCATGATCCCTCGCCAACAAAGTTGTTCGTCGAGGGTACTACTGGCCCCTATTTCAAGAAGACACTTTCAACTTTGCAAAAAAGTGTGACAAATGCCAGCGGTTCGCGAACATACTGTGAGCTCTTTCCCACTAGTTGATATTGATAACCATGACCAGCCCCTAGCCATTCTCCATGTGGGGGATTCATATTATTGGACCCATGCCAACTGGAAAGGGAGGGGTCAGGTATGCAGTTGTCGTGGTGGATTATTTCACCAAGTAGCCGGAAGTTGAACCGTTGGTCGCGATCACTACCAAAAAGCTTAAGGATTTCGTCTTCAAAAATACAGTGTGCCGCTACGGAATTCCTCATACCCTCATCTCTGATAATGGTAAACAGTTTGACAACAAGAAATTCAAGCAGTTTTGCGATGAGCTAGGGATACATAAAAAATTTGCCTCAGTTGCAAGACCGCAAGCCAATGGTCAGGTTGAAGCTGTCAATAAAACCATCAAGTATACTCTAAAAGCTAAGCTTAGCATTGCCAAGGGTAATTGGGTCGATAACCTCCCAGAAGTCCTATGGGCATACAGGACAACTCTGAGAACCTCTACTTCAGAAACACCCTTCTCAATAGCGTATGGCTGTGAGGCAATGATCCTAGTGGAAGTAAGGACTGGTTCACTTCGGAGAGACCTGTTCAATGAAACACTTATGCGTGCAAGTCTGGACTTAGTTGAAGAACATCGCGGCAAGGCTCAGCTAAGGATAGCATCCTACCAGCAGTGCGCGAAAAGATTCTTCAACTTTAAAGTCGGGAGAAGAGACTTCCAAGTCGGCGATCTGGTTCTGAAAGAAGTTCTTCTTAGTACAGGAACCAAGTGTGGGAGTATTAGGGCCAAACTGGGAAGGCCCATACCGCATCGCTAAGATGATATGACGGGGGACTTATCACCTAAAAAAGCTCAACAGTTTTGAAGTTCCGCGAGCTTGGAATGCTGAACATCTTCGCCCTTATTATCAGTAATTCCAAACTCGCTCTTGAATTTCCTTGTAAAGACTTTTAAGCTTTGTAAATAAGATCACTCTTATGTAATATTGTTCCTCGCATTTTTTTGCCTTTCTGTTCGCATAAGAAATATTTGTGTAGTACAAAATTTGTAAGTGCTATCACAAACAGTTAGAAAACGACCTTACGTCCACATGTGTAATGCTTGTGAGGCACAAAAAATTATAAGTGTTCACAAATGATTTAAGAAATAATCTTTTTATTTATTAAAAGTAAGTGCAAATACAAATGTGCTAGCACACGCACGGTTCTAAAAAAAGAAAATTAGAAACAATCACTGGTCTTCGTTCCTAGGCCTTAAAGGTGCAACCTTGGTGTCTCCAGGTTGGTCGCCGACCGCCTAGTCAACTACTGGTTCCTCCGGGACATACTCCTCCAGATGATCGTTTTCCGGATAAGGCCCTTGATCTTCTTCTTCATCGTCGACCTATGCCATGGAAGCGAGGATCCTCTAGTAGTCATTCGGGAGATAGGTGAGGTCCATGTTCGGATTCTTTGGTCGTAGGGCATAAATGGACTGAATCGACCAGTCAGCGGCTTTGCTCTCAACTTCTAGTTCTTGTCATTTCATCTCTTAAATTAACGAAATGATGCACCTTGGGACAATTCGAGTTCTGCCTCAAGTGCCCACTTCTGCTTCTCGGTGGTTTCCCACAATCGCGCTCTTTCTTGTTCTGCTCGCAAGGCCCGCTCAGAGTTCGCTCGTAACTCCAGCTCTTTCTTGCCAGCCTTTTTGGTAAGCTTGACCACTGTCCTTTGCATCTTTTTAACCTCCTCTCCCCTCTTCTCCAGCTCGACCTTCTAGAAATCCACCATGCGGAACGTAGCATCCCTCTCCAACATGTACTGGTTCACCTGAATGGTGGACAAGTTTATCTCCTTCTACGCAGCTTCTAAGTCTCGTTTTAGCTGCGCGTTCTCCTTTTTCAGCTTGATTTGCCCCCCAGTGGCTTCCAGTTAGGTCTTCTGCTGGGCCAAGTGCATAGCAAGCAAAGACTGCATAGCAAAGAAATCAGGAGGTTAAATTCCATTCCATTGAAAAAAACAAGGGAAATATAAGAAAGTCCTGGATGAGGACGAACCCTTTTACCTGCCTTTGCAGTTGGAATGCAATGGTCATCAGGTCCACAGGGTTGGAAGTCATGAACTGTTCAAAAGCCTCAGCGAGCTGGCACTCTAGGAGGGTGAACATCACCGGCTATAAGTGCTCCGAGAATTGCCCCATAAAGTCTAGCACAGACGTGCCAGCTCCCGTAGTAGGTGGTATCTCGTCCACCGTCTTTTTACTTGCTTTGCTCCCAAGAGTCGCAGTGTCCCTTTGCCCCCTGTATGAACCCTCAGGGGCTAGTGTAATGTTGGTCGCGGGCTTGGAAACCCCTCCCTAGCGAAAAGCTTGGTAAGGTTGCGACTTCTCAGGCTGCATGCCCAAGCCCTCCAGCTCAAACTCTGATTCCTCGACCTACAGCTGCTTCCTTTTCTTGGATTTTTGAGCCACAGTCTTCTACTTAGGATGAGTAGCTACGGGCTGAGGAGCGTCTACGGACTGTTCAGCGGGAGTTGGCACCCTCGTCGATGTTCCTTTGACGGGGGTACCACTGGGGCCTGCCTTGGTTGGTCCTGTGGCACCGACTTGAGGAAAGATGAACCCCCTAGCTCTCAGCAACCTGGGCACTTTGGGTGGCATGGTCGCTACATGCAAGTATCGTTAGTCAAAGAGTTTGCTGCATGCAAAAAATAAAGATTGGATAAGGCTGCAGACACTTACGAAGAAAGGGTTCCAAGGTCGCTTTGGAATTAAAAAAACCGTACTTCCTCAAATTAGCGGTTGTCACAAGCAGTTTAGCGTCGCGACTCTAATCGGGCAGGTGACCAAATGCTGTTATTCGATTAAAGTCAGTGAGAGCCGTCACCCTGATAGTCTTGTTCCCTGCGAAGAAACGGAAGAGTTCGTTAGCAAAGATTTGAAGAAAAACAAAATTCACAAGTAAAAGAAGGGAAGACTTACTCGGCTCCCTAAAATGGCAAATGCCATCATAGTTGAAAAAGAAAAACTTCGTCTCATATGCCCCAACATTACTAGGGTAATTGAATATGCCTCCCTCAATTGTGGATCGCTTGGAGATGTAATAAGAGTCCTTGTCCTTGCTCTTTTTCTAATAATACAAGCAAGCGAGCTCTAGCACAGTCAACTCACCAAGACCATTTTCACCACACGCGATATACATAGCCACGACTATCATATACATGTTGGGTGTCAGCTATAAAGACGCGACCCCGAAGTGATCAAGGATCAACCTTATAAAGGGATGGAAGGGAATCAGTGCTCCGTATTTGAATATATTCTCGAAGATCGCAGCCATTCCCTTTGGCAGATTCCAAGCTGAATGCGACCTATACTGGTAGATGTCTACGATAAGTGCGTGTTGGTCTACTACTTTCTATATTTTCTCTCGTGTGACCACTGACAAAATTTCTTGTGAGGGACTCGCTGGGGCGTCCTGCACCAGCGAGCTTGCTCCCTCGTCTGTTCTGGTCGTTGAAGGGTCCATCTCTTCTATAGTCTGAAAAAGAGCGACACGTAGGGATTACGTAGTCTTCATACAAAGTTTCGTACGATGACATGGAAGAACAGAAAACCATAATATGCCTTCCTTAAACCCTAGAAAAAACCCTAAAAATCTTTGGGAATCACCCCCACAGATTCATGTTGCAAAAGAAAACCCATTCTCCATTCAACCGCCTATAAACACCCACCATTATCGCATGGTTATCTACAAAACGGAAAAGGGAAAGTAATGGAAGGATCTTCCTTACCTCTTGGATGTGGGGATTGAACTTCCTACTATGAATGTCAAACACGCACCAAATTGGAAGATGGAAAATCTGGTCTCGCGAGAGCTTCTTGCTTTTTCTGAAAGAGTGAGTGTTGTGACATTGCTTAAGGCAAGCCTGAGGTGTTATGGTGGAAGAAATGGCGACTGGTTTTCTTGAAGCTAAGCGACGTTTGGGCGAAATACATCTCTAGAAGTTGATCACGACCACGTGTCATCAATCGGGGAGAAGAAGTAACCGCCACGCTTCGAAAAATTCAATCGTCGTTTCCTTTCATTGAAATAAACGAGCGACGACTCGATTCCCTCCTCCACATTAAATATGCTCTCATTCGCATTTAATGCACCGATAAGGAACATCGTTTCATTATGGCTTGCATTTAATGTGCATGGCAGACATTTATTATGCACATGACACATGACACGTCTGTCAGAATAAAGGTCGCTTTATTAATGGGTCAGCTGTCTAGCACAACAGATAACACCTGAAGAGGTCGTTAGAATAGAATACTCTTCGTCGCATGTTGAATACGGAATGAGGTGATCCCTTGTCAATAGAAATGCACCAAGTTCTATCAGGCCGCAGACCTAGGTTGAGGTATGAGGCACATTGGTACGACACTTAGAAGGGTCTAACCTAAGTCGCCGACTTTGCGGAAGAAGACCATCTCAAGTTGCTCATAAGAATGTGTACCGTGACCTCCTTGCAGCCAAGTCGGTTCGGCTAGGCATCATTCGAGACATGTCAAATCAAGGCATAATTGTGAAGTTCTCAAGGTTCGATCCTCAAACCTTAAAAACTATAGGACTTTTGTTATGCCTGAAAAGGTAGGGCTGATATGGCACCTTGTCAGCATGAGATGGTTAGAACTTGGGAAGGTTCTGCGACAGTTCAGATGCAGCCACATCGCGTAATGGCGTAAGTGGCATGCCCTTGTCAGTGTAGTGGGTGAGTGTCAGGTTAGCAGATGGTTGGAAATCGTCCACGTGTCCAAACCCTACATAAGTCAAGGAAATCACTCAGGCAAGTGAGCAATGGGACGCAGAGAAGGATTTGCACAATACCCACCCACTTGCAGATTTAGTAATCATTACTTTGGTTTATCCCACAATAAATAAGGGCATTCCCTCCCGTTTGCGGGATTAGCTAATTTTACTCTAAAATAACTCTCTCTCTCTCTCTCTCTTGTACTCTCTCTAAACGGTAGCTCAGCTCGTTAAACGAGACCTGACCTCTACCCTCTTATTAATACAATAGCAGTGGACGTAGGATTCGCTTTTGAGCATCCAAACCACTTTAAACATTGTCTTTCACTCCTTATTTAACTAAATATTCACATATCATGTGTGACGTCTAAGTCCGCTTAGCATTTTACACGTGCGAGTAGTTGGTGTCTAAAATCCGGCATCAACAACTTCCATTAATTTGCTTTGTGTTTCAATTGTATTTGTTTGATTAGAAGTATGTTTTACCTAGAGCTAGAGTTGGTTTTGTATGAACAAATTCTGTTTTTGTTTTTGTTTGTTTGTTTGTGAAATAAGAGTGAATGGGTTTGTAGAATACGATTTTTCATGTTCTCATCAGTTTGATGGTTTTTATGTTATGAATCGAGTGTCAACTGACATGGATTGTTGATTGTCCAGTTTTTAAGAGAGTAGGCAGAGATGGTGAGAGGTGAGGCATTGCAAGATTACAAAGATTTCATAAGAGTCACAAGGAAATCATTCGCCAAAGACATCGTGATGCTTAGAAAATCTGTCGAAGGAATCCATAAGAGTTTCAACAAGAATCGTCATGTTAACTCTGATACCGAGATCAAAAACTCCTTAAGCATGCACGAACTAGGGGTGTTCAAAAAAATGCAAAAACCGAATCGAACCGATAACAGAACCGAAAAACTGGTTAATCGAAAAAACGGTTCGGTTATGGTTCGAAAAATTCAAAAAACTGAATTTTCGATTCAGGAAAAAATAAAAAACGGTTAACCAAAACCGGTTATATATATATATTAAATAAAAATAAAAATAAAAATATATATTATATATTAAATAAAAAAATAATTTCATTTCGGACTTTTATTTGTATCAATTTTTAATGTATTGTTAGTAGTGGTCAATGAATATGTATGAATGTTTAATTTTTATTTGGATATGTATTATTTATATTTACAATTTAATTTAGGAAAAAATTAAAAAAAAAGTTTTATAGAAAAAAAGGGAAAACTGGTTTAAAACCGGTTAACCGCTTTTTTTAAAGTGGTTAACCGGTTTTTCGGTTAAACAAAAAACCGGTTTTCCCTCCAAACCAGTTCGGTTTCGGTTTAGAAAAGTTTTGAACACCCCTAGCACGTACAGCCTATCGTGTCATCCTAATTATGTTAGTCCAACCTAAACCCAATGAAAGTGGTGGCATCGGTACGCTTCTCCTATCCCTTTCCTTACCTCTCTGTTATGTGTTGATTAAATTGTCTGTGAGATGGCATTTAATATTTTGACCTTGCAAGAGATATTAATTTAGCCCTTAACTTTTTAATGCCAATCATGGTTGATGAAGAAGTGAAGCCTGGTAAAGAGAGCATGCTAGAGCAACATTGGAGATCCTTTCTAAATAGGGGCAGGGATCCTATTCCCCGTCCCGGGCCTCCTAAACCCATCCCTATCCTCGCCTCATCCCCTGGGATGGGGATGACGGTGAATCCTCATCCCTACCTTGGCTAGGAAGGAGTGACCCTTATCCCCACCCTAGCCAACTGGGTTTAAATTTTGCCGTGGGAATTATTTTTTAACAAGTTGAAAGGCATGTGCATTGCGCGAGTTGCTCATGAAAGTGATTTTGACACCAAAAAATAAATTAATTAAAGAACGAAATAATAATGGAACATTTTAGTGATAGGAATATATTCCCTCTTCAAAGCAAAGAAAGGAGTTGCAGCACTTTTCTTATGACAATTTGGAACATAATAATAGAATTGAAATGACAATTTTGCCCCTCTTAAAATTAGTAGTTGCTACGTGGAATATGACCATTGCTTTGAAGTTCAACATTAACCTTCCACCATTTTAAAAGGTTGCCCAGCACCATTAAATGAGCAAAAACAAAATAAAATTAAAAACAAAAAACAAAAAAACCTTTATCAGTTTTCATCATCCAACACAAACTCTATTCACCACAAAATACATACCGGCTACAAAGTCCACAACAAAAACATGTAATAAATCTAGTAATAAACAATTTCAAAAATTCAAAAACTTTGTTACAATAATTCAATCAGCCAAACGTCACTCATAACTTTAGAAGAAAGCATCCAGCCAAATGAAAGATGGGTTATGACATGTGACATGTTCATTTGAGAAATATCAAAGGAATGGGCTCCTGAGTGANAGCATTATTCAATCAAAAAGGAGCTTTTAAGTGGAATTTCTCTGATTATGATTGGAGCGTGGGGGAGCGCGTGTGTTAATTTAGTTTATTTCTAGTGGAAGATTAATGAGCCACCTCATTCCACTACAAAATTTTTATTTTTATTATTTATTATTTGTATATATAATATAATATTAATATATTATAATGAAACTAAGGAAATCACGATACAAAAAGTAAATTTTTATATACTGTAAATTTAGGGTTTTGAAAGAGGTATCGTATCATAATGGATCATGTAGATATTGATAAATAATGCAGATTCAATGTCTATATAAGGATGAAAGTGATATCTATAAATATTATAAGTTTTGCGACTATGAGGAATTTGATTTTATGGGAGTCGAAGTGCAATATGTTCGATGAATGATGGGGTCTGAAATGAAATCAGGAAGTTTTCATTTTCAACAAATAAGGGGGTCAAAGTGGAAAATCTTAATGTTAAGGGATGAATTAATATTTGTACATAAATTCTGAAAAAATTTGCTCATTGATTTGAATTTTCTGTGTCCATTAAGGGCCAAAACCGAGAATTTGAAATTGTGGGAGCCAAAGGTAATTTGACGAATAATGGGGTCAGGATAAAAGAATGAATTCACGAAATTGAATTTAAGGGGCCAAGGTGTCAAGTTCAGCAAATGCGGGGGTTATAAAAACCTTAACTTTTAGGGATGAAATTGATAGATTTCAATATAAATTCTGAAAAATGTTATAGAATCTATTTGTAAAGGTGGGGCCAATTAGATAAAATCTAATGAATGGGCACATAACATCATCACTCAAAACTTATAATTAGGATTTAAAAAAACCAAAGTAGGTAGTAGATGACATCTTTGATTATTGGTGGTTTGTACAAAAAATAATCTTTAATTAAAACTATAACTTCTACAAAGCATATTAAATTATTTGTTCAAAAGTTCAAACATATCTACTATGAGGATGAAATTTAATTAAATAGGATTTCAATCTATTTAAAATTGGGGTTGTTTAATCAAGTTTAGTTTTTTAATTGGATTGGATTTTGAGTCAAGATTTTATTAATTGAGCAAAAATGCTATGTATACCGAAAGTTGGTATCGAAATACGTGTCATGTGACTCGGATGTCACCTCGTAAGACGATAGAAGATTGCCGTAAATAGACAGCCGCTTAGTATTTTTGGACGGCCATCAGAAATAGACGACGGTCCATAAAAAATAAATAAAAAATCAATGGACTTTCGTCCAAATACTAGGGACGAGCGTCCTTTTAATATGGACGACCGTCCAATTAAGCACACTAGATGGACATATATGCATCTAATGTGGACAGCAGTCCCTTTAAAGCCTTCCTGCTATATTCCAGCTGCTCATTGTTTAATTTCAATTTGTTTTCCAGGCGGTTCAGAATTGCTGGTCCACTTGGATGAGCTGCCGTCCAAATTCAATGATCTGTTTTTGAATATGCCCATCCAAGGGCTGCCAGACCATTACAGGTCCAGTACTTTTACAGGTCCTAGAAATACTGAGTAGGGATATTTGAATCTGGAATTCAATTAGTCAAATTTGAATAACGTCCGCAGAAGAGATTGAATATCTGGTGTTTAAGAAGAAGTGAAATGTCAAAATGTACTGAAATTGCATAGAAAATCTGGATACAGTAAGTGGAAACACAAGGTAATGTCAAATACACAGTTGGACAAACAGCATAGAATTCACAAACAATGAGAATTAGATTTGCAACATCATCCTATTCCTTTTACAACGGCGGTGGTTGCGGTGGTGGTTGTTGTTCTGGAGGCTGTGATTGTGCTACTTGAGTATCCTCTTTCAATGGCGTGCTAATGTCCATCTTTGCCAGCGCTTCTAGCTCTTGGATTGCTGCCACTGCACTGCTCTGGCTTTCACTGCTTAACTGAGGCTTCAACACGCTGACGGCTTGACCGACTTTTGTTTGCTGCAAGTAAGAGAACTTGTAAGATCAACGATTGTTCCCAGCACAATCTGGATCATAAGAACACACACAGCAAAGATATATTTAGATAAATAAAATAAAAATAAAAAACTTACAAAGAGTTCAAGCTTCCTCCTAAGGTCTCCAATGACTTCATCAGCTCCTGCTGTTTCAGTTAATGGCTCTGAAAGGTTCTTCATTTCAAAATGCCAAGAACAATTAACAAAAATGAATTAAACAAAAGAATGTAAGCCAGTGTGCTTAAACCTAGCGAGATTGAACAAAATGCAACAAAACAATTATCTAAAATGCAATTCATAAGATGATTGAACCAAACAATCTCATCTCAAGAATACTAGCAAACTTTCAGAACTACTTGAAAATGATTTAAAAAAAAAAAAAAACTATGGGGAAAAAACTGATTTTAAATATTAAAATCATGTTTAAGATATTAAGAATATTTAAATGCAATTCAGTTATTTAAATTGTCTTTCAGTTAGGCATGGTTTTATGTTATAAAGTTCATACAACTAATTCACTTTTGCATTATTTAAAGAAGACGAACCAGTTGAATATGAGCAATCTTCGACTCATCATTTCTGCAGCTTTCAATCAGATCAGGACAGTCTCTAATCACCAATTCCTTAAGGGAAGTAAGGCGTTTTATCCCTTCTGGAAGAGATGACAATCTGGGGCAGTCTTTAATCTGAAGTTTTTCAAGTGATGTGAGATTTTCAAACCACTCCGGTAGTGCTTCTAAGTTTTTACACGTTCCAATCTCTATGTACTTCAGAGTGCCAGCAGATGCTTGAAAAAGAAGCTGGGGCAAATCCACTAGTGAATCTAAACCATAAACTATGAATTTTTTAAGACTCAGCCTCAGGTCAAGATCTTCTGCTTGCAATTCCATCTTCAAATTAAGCTTGCGGCTAAACGAAATCACTAACATCTCTAATTTTGTCAGGTATTTGATAGTATTTGGTAACGAGCTCACAGAAGTGTTTTCTAGATGCAACGCTCGGAGGCTTTTCAGACCTTGCATCCCTTCACACAAACTTACTAGATTGTAGCAGTGATATAAGTACAAATATTGAAGGGAACCCAAACATCCAATTTCATTTTCTGGAAGAACCTCCTCTTGTGTGGTTATTTCCAAGTATCTAAGGGAGATTATTTTGCGTATGTTATTAGGCAACTTCTTAAGCTGATAACAACTACGAAGTCTTAACATTTGCAATTTTTGAAGCTCGCAAATAGATTCAGAGATCTTCTTCAATGAAGAATTATGAGCTAGATCAAGGTATCTCAAATGTCTCAATGTACCGATAGAATTTGGCAACTCTTCGAAAAATATACCATACAAGAATAATAGTCGGAGGTACTTGAATTTAGATATATCTTCACTAATAAATGATCCAAGAATAGGCGCATCTCCGTATTTCTTTGCTGTTGGAAGGATAACGCTTCGGACACTCCTTGAGTTATCAACTATGAGTTGTCAAAATTCTTCACCACATAACTTTGTGTCACCATGTGAAAAATGCCGAAATTTCCCATCAACTTTTTGGCTTCCGAAATTTATGAATGCAGACTCACCTTTTGTCATTGATAGTGCAAGATCATGCACTCTAAATTGCCAGCAAAAATTTCGATCCCAGAAATCCTCTAAGAAACCCCTTGACCATAAATCTTTGATATATTGAGAAGCAACATCTTCTAGCTCTTCAGTTTCATAAGAGGTTTTAAGAAGTCCAAGCGCCATCCAATATTGGGCCACATAATCATTTTTATAATTATAATCCTTCGAAAACAAGCAAAGATAAGTAAAACATCGCTTCAAAGGAGATGGCAAATGATCATAGCTCAATTTCAATACTGGTAAGATGTCTTCATTATCTCTATCCACCTGTCAGATGTCATTTTTTTTTTATTTTCAACCACTCATGTTCGTCCGTATTTGCATAAAGTAAGCTCCCTAAAGATCTCACAGCCAACGGAACTCCTTTACATTTTGCTACAATGTCCTTCCCAAATTTTATAAGCCTTGGAAAATCTTTCCCTTCTCCATCTTTGAACGCATACTTCTTAAATAATGACAAGGATTCCTCACTGGAAAAACCTTGTAAAAAATGAGAGGGAATAGTGTTCATTATTTCTGCAACTCTTTTACTTCGTGTGCTCACAATAATTTTACTTCCGCTGACACCATTCATTAGTAAGTCTTTCAATTCCAACCATTTCATCGGCTTCTCATTCCAAACATCATCCAAGACAAGCATAAAATTTTTACCTGTCAAAATTTCCTGTAAACGCTTCGGAATTTCATCTCCTTTTAACTTACCACAATCCTGAGCATGATCTGTTGCAGATCTAATAATTTCTTTCATCAATCTGATGACATCGAAGTCATCTGACACACATGCCCACATCTTTAATGGAAAGAACTTATCTACCCTTTTATCATTATAAACCATTTTAGTAAGAGTAGTTTTACCCAAACCCCCAATTCCAACTATTGGAATGACAGAGACATTATTGTCGGTTTGTTGCATTAAAAAGCTTATGATCTTTTCTTTATCATTCTCTCTTCCAATAACACAAGAAGCCCCCAAGAAGGAATTAGTCTCCCTCTCCTTTGGAATCACATAACTAACTTCAACAGGAGTACTCTCAATAAGAGTAAAATTTCTTCTATCACCTGCAATCCGATCTAGCCTTTCTCTAATCTGCTTGATTTTATGAATAATTTGAGATCGAAGAACAACAGGATTGGAGCTTGAAAAGAATTGACGTACCTTTCTTGATGTGCTCCTCTTTTGTCTCACCACTTCCCTCCCAGGAGCTTGAAACTCGAATTCTTCTAAAACGTCCTCAGCATCAAGGAGAACATCCTTAAGCTTCCCAAGCCAGTCACGCAGCTGATGATCGTGTGCCTGCTTTTTCTCAGCATCCAAGAGCACGGCTTGGATAGTGCTCAGGGTTCCCGCAAGGCTTTCTAAATCACTTTCAAGATTCCACAACGAGGACACTTGCCGACCCACAAGAGAGCCTATCTTCTTCAGAACCTCAGTCGCAATGTCAAATAGAATTGATTCTGCCATTTTCTCTCAGAAGAAACGAAGAGAGCGAGAATAAGCTAGTTGAAGATAATTGAATCGGTGATGCAGGAAAAATATCGTTAAATATCTTTATCAATTGGCACCGAAAGCCTGCCACTTCGACGAACCTTCGTGGTAGTGTGTTTTGGTCTTTTGCTCACACCTTGTGGAGTCGGTTGTTGTTTAATCAATTACCTTTGTTAAGTGGAAGGAAAACTTATAATTCAAATTTTTTATCATAAACTTACTTGATAAAATATGATTAAGTAAAGTTTATTTTAAATTTAAAATCATTCAATCATATTTTATCACATAATTTATAAGAGAAAATTTGTACAAAAAAATTATGGGTGTAGTACAATTATTTTCCCATTTTTATTTTACAAAAAGGAGGAGGATGAAGGATTTTTATTTGTAAATAGAATTAATCCAAGTAAGCAATTAGGGGGTCCAATTCTTCACAATTAATGGTACATATTTTATACTTTTAAAAAATTATTTATTTTTAGTGTTTCCTTTTCCTTTTTAATTATTTATTTTAGCCCACTTTATTTATTCCCATCAACCACCTCGTACAATTGAATATATTTTCCTTTTTTTCTTTCTTATTTTATAAATTTAACAACACAAAAATCTTATTTATATTGAAAATAAAAATAAATAAAGAAAATAATCCTTTCATCCCTTCAATTAATTTGAAGCACAAATTAGATCTAAAACCAATAATATTTACTCAAATTCAACTCGGATCCTAGATTCAAATAAAGATCTAAAACCAATAATGTTTATTTAAATTTAACTCAGATCTTAGATTCAAATAAAGAAATACATGGAAAAAGCATATTAAATTATTTGTTCAAAAGTTCAAACATATCTACTATGAGGATGAAATATAATTGAATATGGAATTCATTGTCCATGTTCATGAAAATTCTCAAGTGCGGACGTAAAATTCAAACTAGTTTGAATTTTCGCTAACAGAATTAACTCGTGCATGCACGAATTAACGCTTGTTACTGAAAACTGAGATCCGGTTTTCAAAAGAATCATAACGTCCGCAGAAGAGATTGAATATCTGGTGTTAAAGAAGAAGTGAAATGTCAAAATGTACTGAAATTGCATAGAAAATCTGGATACAGTAACATGGAAACACAAGCTAATGTCGAATACACAGTTGGACAAACAACATAGAATTCACAAACAATGAGAATTAGATTTGCAACATCATCCTATTCCTTTTACAGATTCTCTTTCCTTCCGGTGTCTCAGTTAGAATACTTCTACAACTCTCTCTGATCCAGGGAATGAGGTTCAGGTTCCTAAACATCACAATAAATTAAATTCACAAGCTTTTTGCACAGTTTTTACTTATCTTAAGTCTGAACCAGTGGTGCCACGGGTTGTGGTTGCGGTGGTGGTGGTGGTGGTTGTTGTTGTTGTTGTGGAGGCTGTGATTCTGCTACTTGAGTATCCTCTTTCAATGGCGTGCTAATGTCCATCATTGCCAGCGCTTCTAGCTCTTGCATTGCTGCCACTGTACTGATCGGGCTTTGACTATTTAAATGAGGCTTCAACAGGCTGACGGCTCGCCTGACTTTTGTTTGCTGCACGTAAGAGAACTTGTAAGATCAACAATTGATTGTTCCCAACACAATCTGGTATCATAAGAACACACACAGCAAAGATATTATTTAAATAAATAAAATGAAAATGAAAATGAAAACTTACAAAGAGGTCAAGCTTCCTCTTAAGGTCCCCAATGGCTGCAGCTCCTGCTGTTTCAGTTAATGCCCCTGAAGGGTTCTTCATTTCAAAATGCCAAGAACAATTAAAGAAGAGTTAACAAAAATGAAATGTTTAAGCCATTGTGCTTGAACCTAGCGAGATTTAACAAAATTCAAGAAAACAATTATCTATAAATCAATTCATAAGATGATTAAACCAAACAATCACATCTCAAGAACAGTAGCAAACTTTACCAATATTATTAAAATGTGACATGTTTTTTTTCTTTTTCTGAAACAGGACGTCCGGGCCAACTTGGGCGAACATTGACTAATTCCACTAATCCCTGTAGCTGACTAGCACAGCATCTCACAGCACGTTTCTTTCATACTACTAATAAAATTGTGAAAGTACCATGCCAAAAGCCTCTAAATTGGGAACCGACATCACGTGCAACATCCTACTTATAACATTGATTACAAAATATAAACGGTAATATAAATTTAGCTTATAAATGTTACCATTTTTATGTGATCTAACTACCTTACCAATATTAATGCCAAGATTAGTCATTGTTATAAATAGGAAATAAACACTTAAGTTATACCTTCTTGGGACGACCCACCGGCCTTCCAGTACTGCTCACAGCCTTCTTTGCCGGTCGGCCACGCTGCTTCACACTACCAGCAGCAGCCAGAGTTGCGCCAATCTTCCTTGGCCGCCCTCTAGGCTTCGCTACATTGGGGATTGCCCCAGGCACATTTGTATCACTTGCAACATAAGTAACCGCCACAGGATTAAGCTGCTCTTGGGCTTGAACTTTAGGTGGACGACCGGGGCCCAATTTACCCGTCACACTTTTCGGCTTTTTCGGACGTCCAGGGCCCCTCTTCTTCGCCTTTGGTGGTCTACCCCTCCCCTTCATAGGCCCACGTGGGGCAACTACCACCACGTCACCCTTCTTCGGACGACCTCGACCTCGCTTGGGCTGATCAACCAGCCCAAGGGAAGCCAAAACACTATCACTGTTAGTAGCCTTGGGTGGACGGCCCCGTCCTCGGCCTGTTTTAGGCCCATGGGCCGAACTAACAGCAGTGGCATTTTCGGGAATAACATTATTACTTTCAGGAGGAATAATTGAAGCAGCAACATCATCAGATCTAGGAAGCTTGTAAGATTTCTTGACCATAACAAGTTGACCAGTGTTCTTCAACCGCTTGAGGTGGTGAGTCAACAAGGCCGAGTGATTCGGAGGAAGAAGATTCGCGTAAACTTTCTCTATGTACTTCGCGATAGCTCGCTTGCTCGACCCGTCCTTCTCTTTCAAAGCAGTGATGGCCGAACTTATCATCTGAAACAAAACAAAACAAAAAAAAAAACCCTAAAAGTTTAGCGAGCAGAAAACACTAAAATTGGGTTAGCTGTGAAAAAATTTAGGTTAGTTTCGAAGATTTCAACTTTACCTCAGTGTAAGGAGGGTGATTGTTGTTGTGGTTGAGAGAGGGAGGTGTGGGGTTGGCGATGGTGGCAGATGTGGGTGGAGGGGGAGGAGGAGCGTGGTGGTGGAGATGGGGGAGGGAGGGAGGAATAGGCGGTGGGGAGGAATAGGCGGTGGATAAGGCGGTGGGGGTTGAGGAGGAAGAGGGTCGGTGGAAAGGTGGAGAAAGGAGGAAGGGTCCATGGAGATGGAGGAGGTAATTTGGTAATTTCTCGAAGTTTTGATTTTTGATATTCGGGTTTGAAAAAAAGAGAGAGTGAGAGAAAGAGAGTGGTAGGTTAGGTCATGGAGAAATGTGTAATTGGGGGAGATGAAGATGAAAGGATTGGGAGATGAATTGGACCGTTGAGATGTTTGGGTGGGTTTAGATTGCTGACGTGGATTTTATTTTTTTCATCTTGTCTTTTTCTTCAAATTTTTTTTTTTTTTTAATTTGAAAATATTTGTTATTTTAACTACATTTATTTTTTTTATTTTTAAACCCACAAAATAGACAAGAGGTGAACAATTGTAAGATAAGATTAAGATCAACACATTAATTACTTGTCGATATAGATAAGAGTATAATTAAACATTGAATTGAATTATGAAGAAGGGATTTGCCTACAACCTTGAATAAAAGTCAATAAAATTATCCATTCATTTATTTAAAAAGATTAGGTGGTCTACTCAATAAACAATTAATTTAAGAGTAATGTTATGCTTACTCACGATCTTATTAATCATCTTATATAAATATAATATGTAATATGGATATCATACGCATAGTATAAGTACCATATGTAATTTTAACAAAGGTAGTAAGACAGTTAGTAAGCTCGTGAGTAAGCATAGCATTATTATTAATTTAATTAAAAATTGTGGACACAATAATTTAGTTTTAACAATAATTTTATATAATTATTTTCATATGGGTAATTGTNATGGGTAACAAAATTACCAATAAAATATTTAGTATTATTAAAATGTGAGGTGATAAGTTATATATATATAATAATACATTATTTTAACAAAATACAATAAAATATTATATTAATAAATCATTTATAAACAAATATATTAATCAAATATTTAACACAAATATCAAGATAAAAATACTCTACCAAACACATATTATAAAAATCATATTATCGTAATCATAACCCTATCCAACTATCCAATACTATCCTCAAAATCCTACCTAAAATACTAAACCAAACGCACCCTATTATTTTTTTAATAGCAATTGTTATAAGTTATTTTGTCCCACATAGCCAATTTAGTTGACTAGTATGAACAATTATATATATATATATATGTGTGTGTGTGTGTGTGTGTGTGTGTGTGTGTGTGTGTGAAGTAAGTTATACTCAAGTACGTTTTAACATCATCATATATATATATATATATATATATATATGATGTTAAAAATTGTATTTATCTTATATTCAATGTTTTAAAACCCAACCTGGGGTGAAACCCAGCAAAGCTTCTGGGTCCCAGGTTGATTGGTTGATAAATTTTTTTAAAATTCAGCAAATATACCCCTAAAAATTACAGGTAAATCCCTATAAGTTTGAAATTTATCAAACACACCCCAACTGCAAATCGACTGGTGATTGATTAGCGGCGGCGACACCCCAAATGCAACCCCAATCGTCCCTAGAGCCCATTTCCATCAAAATATACCGAAGATCTGGCCGAAATAGGTTCGATTTTGGCCAGATCTCATCGACGTCGACGTCGGCATTCCAGGCCAGATCCCATCGATTATGGCAACAACAACCCTTCCCATCACCCCATAATTGCTCCCCTTTTCTTCCTGACCAAAGCCCCCCTCACCCCACCCCTGTTAGCCTCGTAAATCGCTGGAAAAATCTCATCGTTGCTGCTGCCAGTTTTGTTCGATTTCCAGTCGATTTACTCACCGGAAATCAAATCTTTCACCACCATTACATTCACCGGAAATAGCTCTTCAAAAGCCCCAACATTCTAACAGTTAATTGTTCGCCGATCATCACCGGAAATCCTAGGGTATTGGATGAATAGGAAAAAATTAAATCCGGCCCGTTGAAGCTTCCGGGTCTCGGTTGAATCGGTTCAACCGGCCGGGCCGGGCCAGGTTTTAAAACATTGCTTATATTACTAATTTAATATATATGTAATGTTAGAGGTTGTATGTGTTCCATATCGCTAATTTAATAGACTAGTATGACATCAAAGCCATGTGATATATATATGGTGTCTCGTATCGCTAATTTGATATAATATTATGGCATAAGAGCCATGTAATATATATGTGGTATTAGAAGTTGTATTTGTCACATATCGCTAATTTGATGTACTATTATGATGTATATATATGTGGTGTTAGAAGTTATATTTGTCTCATATCGTCAATCTCATCTCTTGAGCTAGCTTTTTAACATTTTCGGATTTCGAGTCAAATATATCTATAAACACATATGTAATTTATAATTATTTGGGGTGATGATCACTTAAAGGAAATAATAAAGAATCCCATGTCATTATCACCCCCAAGATCTATCTCAATTTAATTTAATACAAGATCTAAAGTTATGCCAAGAATAATAATACAAAAAAAGATTATACAAATGAATATAAATAATTGAGTATGTGAATGGTGACATATCCAGCTAATCGTGACCAAATTGCAAGAGATAATACTAGAAAACAATATGAAAAATAATTGCTAATTTTGGTGCAATATATCATATATTACTTCACTATTCCATATATAAATAACCGTATCACATGAGAATTATATCTAAATCAAAAGCAATAAACTTTGTTTAGCGATAATGATTTGCGACATGACTTAGAACATGATATGAATACGATATAAAGTTAACTTGTAAAACATGACACGAATACGATGTGAACAAGACCTAAAGTTATGCCAAGGATAATAATACAAAATAAGATTATATAAAATTTAAATAATTGAGTATGTGACATATCCAGCTAATCGTGAACAAATTGCAAAAGATATACTAGAAAACATTATGAAAAATAATTGCTAATTTTGGTGCAATGTTCATATATTACTTCACTATTCCATATATAAAACCGTATCACATGAAAATTATATCTAAATCAAAAGCAATAAACTTTATTTAGCGATAATGATTATGACATGACTTAGAACATCATATGAATACGATGTAAAGTCAACTTGTAAAACTATGTGAAACTTATTTGTTAATGTGACATAAACAATATTAGTTGTATCAAAACCATTTATAAATCATTCATATTAGAATTTAAACATATACATAATGAATTAAACATTATATTTGAGTGACTAAAACTTATTATATCTTTTTACTCATAATTATTTAAAATAACCATTCAAGGCAACCTTCAAGGCTCAACCCTTTCGAGCTCTAGTTGTGCTTTATAATTTTATTTTTCACCCAATTTGTCTTTTTCCTCATTTCAAGTATTAAACCAAACAATTTAAACAGTTAAGATTAGACGTAACTTGTGTAAGAGTGGTTATTATTATATTGCCAATTTAGTTTATTGTCTAATATTGTCAATTATGATTATTAAAATTGTTATGGTGTATATAGTGGTTGAATTCCTCTTTTATAAATTAGTTTTTAGAAATTAGTTGTATCAAAACAATTTATTAGATATCAAAAAAGTTATCTTTTAGAAAACAATCTCAATACCCAATGCATTATTTGAAGAACTCTATAATATTGTCATTATTCCTTATAACAAATGGTTCTCGAAAATTTTAATTTAAAAACAATCTCAATTAATTACGCAAATGCACTATTACGAGAACTTATAATACAGTAAAACCTCTATAGTCATAATAGTAGGATAATTAATTTTATTACTATGAGAAGGTTAAACTTAAATGAGGTGTAGTTAAAAAAATTTATTATTCATAATTCATGTTTTAGTAAATTAGGATTTCAATTCATATTTAATAATATTGAGTTTCAATTCAACACTTAATTGCCTATTTTTAAACATATAGAAAATCGTGTTTTAAAACCAATAAAGATAATAGTCTTTGATGGAATTGTAAATGTAGTGTGCTGCAAAACTAATGTGAAGCTACAGACAATGTGTCAATTGTTTTAAGCATTACAAAATTAGGATCCCCGATATGATGAATTGCAAGTTACAAATGAAGTGGATGGGAGAATCAAAGAGTCATGTAGAATTGAGTGATAGATTTAACAATTACACCACTAATCGAATGAATATTAATGTTTTCCTTAATCATCCAATGAGAACAAGTCATGTATGCTTACAATAGAATAAATCATTTTTACAATTAAACAAGAAGAAAAAGAAATAATTATGAGGATAATAGTATGGGTGTTCAAAGAAACGATTGGAACCGGCGGGTACCCTAGGTTTGGTTCCGATTCTTACCCAAAATCCGTCATCAATGGGTAGGTTCCGGTTCCGGTTCGGTTCCTATAGTTAGGAACCGGAACCAGGAACCAGGAACCGAGACTAATATAAAATAAATAAATATTAGGGGGGTTAATAAAAACTTTTGTAGAAAAAGTAATGTGAATAAATTTATATTTATATTTCATACATTTTAAGTAAGTTGGTTTGACTTTTGAGAATTACCTTTACAAAGTAATGAAGTTTTTCATTTTGAATTTATAATTTGTAATTTATTTTTTGTTAACAAGTGCCAGGTGGGGGGTATTTGTAAGTTTTAAGGGTTTTTTTGCCATTTTAAAAACTTTTAGAGGGTCATAATTTTACAGAGTACCCAGAAACAACTGGAACCGTGTTACAGGTTCTGGTTCTAGGTACCTAGGAACCGTAACCGTCGGTTCCGGTTTTGGTTCCAAATTTCAAGGAATCGTCGGTTCCGATTCCGACACAAAAGTGCAGGGTACCTGGAACCGACACCCCTAGATAATAGTATGAAAATACAAAAAGTTCTATGTCAAAAAACTTTAAACATGTTTTAGAAGCTATAAATGTTTTTGTCCATATCACCAATTTAGTAGACTAGTGAATTGGTGTTTAATTAAGATAGATCAACACCGTTCAATATAAAAAATGAACAATTAAAATATTAATTTTTTTTTTTTAATAGCAATTGTTATAAGTTATTTTGTCCCGCCAATTTAGTAGACAGTGATGATATATATATATATATTTATATGTGTGTGTGGGTGTGTGTGGTGTGTAAAAGTTGATTTGTATATATATATATATATAACTTTGTCATTTTTCTCTAACTCCTTTATTCATTGAACATTGCTTTTGTTCCCCCTACAAATTTTTTTTGGCTCTGCTCCTGATCATAGAGAAAACATCTTTATCTTCATTAAAACGGATGCAAACATGTTTATCTAGTCATGTATAATGTATATCTAATTTTATCATAATGGCCATGACTAAAGAATTTCTTTATATATATATATATATATGTTTGTTTGTTTTACCAAAACCTTTCCTTTACCGTAAGACATAATGTTAACTAACATTGGGTGCTCAGATAGTAAAAAGAGATTTCATGAGTTCTTGAGTTCGAGTCTCTATATGTCTTAGTAGGGGTGACCACTGAGGAGTTTACTTGATTGTTAATTTCAGGATCTGATAGATTAATTGAAGTATGTGTAAACTGTTCCGAATACCTCTAGTCACAAAAGCTTGAGGGGCCTCTTCTAAATCAAACAACGGGGTGGAAATGGGTGGCAGCATAGGGTAGGGGTTGCTTTTGTAAGTTCATG